CTTCCACTCAACCGGCTCGCTATGATCCTTGGGGCTGGGGCCCGAAGCAATCTCGCGGCTCTGTTGATACGGCTGCAGAGACGATGGCTTTCCAGATGCTCTGGAAGTGCGCGGTAAATTGCATGCGCGACGGCGCTAAACCATGCACGGCCTGCAATGGGCTCTGGGACGAGTCCAAGAAAATGGTGTCCACCCGTGGATCCAAGGAGGAACTCGAATTCTGGGTGTGTGTGCGGGAATGCTCTCGCGACAGGTTGATGTCTTGTATGGAATGCGAGACAGCCTGGCGCCAGCAACTAGCAACGGCATCGCCCAAGGACCTGCCAGTGGAACAAGCGGCGGCATACGCTGAGATCTGGAACTGCGTGGTCCACTGCGACAAAGACAGGACGCAGAAAATGTGCGCGCCGTGCGACGAACTTTGGAGAAAATGGGATGCAGGACTACCGCCCTTTGGACCCGAACGGGCTGGTCTTATTACCGCCGGAGTTGATGACGGATCTCCATCAGATCCCAATACCGAGGAATTCGCGATCAGGTCTCGTCTTGATTCATGCATGAAAGGATGCACTACAGCCAATGAAATAAAACCCACCAGCTACTGCAACTACTGCGAAGTGCTCGTAAGATCCGTCCCACTACTGGTGCCGCATCCCTGGATTCGTCGAAGCATTTCCCCCGAGTCCAGCAAGACCATCGCAAAGCGCCTGCTATTCGTCTGGGACCCGGCCACCGGTGTCTTCAAGTGCACAGAACAGTGTGCAAAGGGCAAGGATTACTACATCTCGTGTCTCCCCTGCCTGTACGATAAGGGCATCCCTGTTGGCGACAACCTACCCGAGACTGGCCAAGCAGAGGTCGGACGTCTAAGCCTGCCATGAGGCCAAACGCCCGTAGCCAATGTTGCTGACGCTCAACAAGACAAAAATTTGCGACTTTCCTTCATTGTATGCTAGGTTTCATTGCGACCCAAATTTCGTACGTTATGACTAATGTCAGCAGTGTAATGATATTCTCAAATGGGTACTATGTTCATTTCGTTGCTTAGTCTTTCGGGGGGGTTTTCTTTTTCGGAGAGAAAGTAGTTGCAAAGACTAGCAGGATAATGACAGATGGAAGTTAGGAATGTAGTCGTGTTTCTGAGTGTCTATTAAAATATGCTGTTCTTGATAATACAATCTCTTTTCGCGACAATGAGCATTTCGCGGTCCTTTCTTAGGAGAGAAATTCTTGTAGTGAATATGCTACTGTAGTGATGAATGTAGGTGTTTTTTTGAGATATTAGGGACGAGCTGAAGTTGGCATTGTGACAAAAGGCTAGGAGCACTCACATATGCTATCACTTGACACGTTCTTGATATCTACACTACGAGGATGCCCTAGATTACAAGCTGCGCCTACTTACAACTTCGTTTTTTCCATATCCAATATGCCATTGATTGGTTGCATCAAATTATTTATAGAGACCTCATCGACCTCTTGGCCAGTGCCCATACCTGCTGGGGGTTCTATGCCCCACTCTGGAATTTTTCTCGTGCTAGAAAGGGTGAGCTCTAGCATACTTCCGCATGGATATTCCTTCTTCTGCAAGAGTTCTAAGAGATGCTTCGCACATGTATCTGGTGTTAGTGCTGCCTCTGGATCGAGAGAGAATTGCTTCATCTTTGTGGCGTCGAACAGTGGCGTCAGTACGGCAGCAGGGCAGAGAGCGGTAATTTTGACTCCAGTCAGGGGTTCACTAGTTGCGAGAGACTTTACGAATCCGATGATAGCGTGTTTGGTTGCGCAATATAGGGGTGCTGCTAGGTTGCCGCCGATGCCCGCAAGAGATGCCTGTGATGTGTTAACCTCATGTCTACTCGGGCCGCTTTCAAATTAACAACGGCTCAATCTTGTCAGCAAAACTTACGATGATGCAAACACTTGCCCGCTTTCCTTTTCCCAAGCTCTTCCTTATTGCCAACCTCGTCAATTTGATCGGGTGATTCACATTAACATCAACCTGCATGTACCCCTCATCTTTTTCCGGATCCTGCCAGAAATTCGAAAAGTCAGGTTCGAAAAGTCCAGCGCATATGGCATATGCATCTGGCGCATCATTCCATTTCTTCTCGCACACATCGAAGAGCTTGTCGAAGTCGGACCAGCGCGTCACGTCGGCTTGGACATAGACGATGTTGTCTTTGCCGGCTGCGAAGCTGTCGAAGTCGGGTGTTGTTTTGAGGTCCGCAACGAGGACTCGTGTACCAAGTTCACAAGCTTGTTTCACCACTTCAAAACCAATGCCTTGACACAATGAGATCTAGACGTAATCATTTGGGTCATAATCCATACCTGATGCGCCTCCAGTGACAAGCAGAATCCCGTCATTCAATGGTTGATCGATTGATGACATGTTCGATTTATTTTCTGCGTTGAATATTCGGGTAATTTATTGAAGTTCAAAAGGTTTATCGGGAAGGGTTTGAAATTCGGGTATCGATTGCATTCTGCAAATGTCTTGTTATCAGGTGTCGGATAACAGCTCCCGAGCGGAAGGGCTGGAGAAGGCGGAGTCTCATCCTGAGAGGGGTACGTGACCGCCAAACGGGACGGAGCAGCTACCACCGACGCTCTGAAGGCGAGTGGGATGGGTACTTGATTGGTAGCAGTGTGGTCAAGGACATGTTCTGTTAAACGACGATCTTGCACAGGGGTTGCGTGCCAGGTCATAGCTACATAATCGCGCAGGTATAAATTCTGCGTTACCCTACTAGGTTTGGTAGCATTGTTCCAATCTCTTCAATGAACACATGGAAAACGGAGTTGTGGGTTTGACAAATTTTAGAGACTAATTGTAGATCGTGGATCGGTAATATGAAGTTTCTTCTCAATATAGATGCATACAAACAAAGAAGGCGTAGCCACATGCGCATCTCCAGTGTATTCGCTATAGGCGGGTGAAACCATGGATTGGCAGCCCAAATTGCATAGCCAAGTGTAACGTGTACAAAGACATGCTTTACGCGGTGTTCCACTTGCATAGTAAGTGGGTCGCCTAGAAACCCCTCACATTGACCCCACCACTTTCCTGTCAATTTCTTACTGACCTTAACAACAAGAAAAATCCCAATCCTCACCACAACGCTCAAAATATTTGCATCATAGATCAGAGTTGCACCCATATTCAACAAAGACATATCTAGCTTGTTTTTACGCACGATGGCGCATGTGAGATGGGGATCAAGATAACGTGACATTGTAGCCAGGGTATAAAAAGAGGTCCGTGTTTGCTCCACCAACGCAAACCAGTACCTTGTTTACCAGCAACCGCAATTGAGTACCATCATGCTGTAAGGTAAAATCGGAATAGAAACTGTTAATAGTTTGCCAAATAATAGCAGCATCCTAGTTCTGTTTACGTTCGAGAATCAGCACTTTCCAAAACCGGATGAGTTGTGCATGAGCGGCAGTCTCTGTTAGAACATTCAGCAGTCACTTGAACGACGTCGGGAACATCGATATTGCTAATGAGTTTTCCAGCTTTTTTTGCATAATTAGGCGATAACAACGCTTCTGCAGGCCGATATCAATTCTACTAAGCAATGGGGCAAGGACGAGCGGCTGATCAAAGTATCCGTTTCTAGTATGCCAGCAATTATCCTTGTGCAAGGCTGATCAAACTTGTTTAATCAAGTGAACATAAGCAAGGCTTCGCTTTTACACATGGTCATGAATTGATTTCATGTGCCAACAGTATAGCAAAGAGTAACACAAACGCTTGCTGGCACCTTGGCGTTCATCCACCTTTTAAGACAACACTCTCGCAATCTTGAACCACATCCTACCTGTTCTCTCCTTCACCATGGAAACACTGCCACAGGAATTGATCAACCGCATAATGTAGTTTGCAGAGCGTTACCCGAACCAGTATAGGTATCATGCGATATATCAATATCACATACGTGGCAATCATTACCATGCGCCGTCTCGATTTCCTCGTCTCGCAATTCTCAATCACGCATGGAAAGAATCAGTGGAGCATATCACATTTCACTGCCTAAACCTCATCCCTCGCGACCTGGAGAAATTACACGCAATTGTAACAGGGAATCGACGAAGATACCTTTCCACGATCGAATTCACAACGATGTTGCCACAAAATCCGAAAAAACATATACTATTTAGATTCAGAACTTGAACGTCGGTGTCAAGATGCGCGCAACGTCCATTTTACGAGAAACCTAGAAAGTCTCTTTAGGATCTTACGAAAGTGGGAAGATGATGGCCTGCGGAATGTGTTGCGGCTTGAAATCAAAGTAGTATTGTCGAAACCCAAACCCAAACCAACCCCTATGACGAGGGGTTGTGCGGCCGATATGGTTATCAGCCCAAATTTTAGGGACGGTTGGCCGCTTGTGCGCATAATCCATCCCAACAACCTGCCAACCTTGTCGAATGTCCAGCATCTCGATGTACGCGATAATGAACAGAGACTTGCACCATCTATTGGACTAGATCTAGCCCTCTCATTCCCAAATCTTCGGACAGTAGTTTGGAACTTCGGAGACTGCTACCATTCCCATGACAAAGAACCAGAGTTTGACGATTCCGATGAAGAAGAACCAGATCTCAACCCATTATTACTCCCTGAATACGCACAAGCTAAAGAGCCAAGAGCGCGTCGCGTAGCTCGTGCAGAGTTTGCGAAAAGCCTCATGCTGACCCCCTTCCACCGTTTCAACTCCGCCGATATGTACTTCTACCACGAAAGCTACTCGTTTGACCAAAGATACCCAGCCCCAAGCATCGTACCTCATGGTCTCTCCCACGACACATTCAGCACCGCTTTACGAACCTTTTCCGAAAACCTCACAAGTCTAACGCTGGAGGCCTACGTCGACTCAACCCTCTTCTAGCCGCTAGAAAAGCCTGCCACACCGCCCACCTGGCCAAACTTGACAACCCTCGACATCACCATGTCCGAAATCGCTCCCTCTGGACAATGGTTCTTCACTGGTCCCCTCCTCTCCGCCACCGGCAATTCCTTTACAGTCGACCAGGGCTCCATTAGGTTTCGCATCTACCCGACCCAGGCACACTCAACCCTTTCCTCGCCGCCCTCTCCAAAGCAGCGTTACAGATGCCTGTCCTATCCTCTCTCATGCTGACAGTCTACCTCTCGGTTCAGACAAACAATGCCCACGTC